CGTTCTGGTTCTATTACTACCACTACTACACTTGTTCTGTCTGTTATTACCACTACTACACTTGTTCTGTCTGTTATTACCACTACTACACTTGTTCTGTCTGTTATTACCACTACTACACTTGTTCTGTCTGTTATTACCACTACTACACTTGTTCTGTCTGTTATTACCACTACTACACTTGTTCTTGTCTGTTATTACCACTACTACACTTGTTCTGTCTGTTATTACCACTACTACACTTGTTCTGTCTGTTATTACCACTACTACACTTGTTCTGTCTGTTATTACCACTACTACACTTGTTCTGTCTGTTATTACCACTACTACACTTGTTCTGTCTGTTATTACCACTACTACACTTGTTCTGTCTGTTATTACCACTACTACACTTGTTCTGGCTGTTACTATCACTACAATCGTTCTGGTTCTATTACTACCACTACTACACTTGTTCTGTCTGTTACTACCACTACTACATTTGTTCTGTTACTATCACTGCAATCATTCTGGTTGTTACTATCACTACTACACTCGTTCTGGGTCTGCACCATGCATTTAAAATAGATCAGTGCCCTACATCTAGACACACACACACAACACACACACACACACACACACCACACACACAACACACACACACACACACACCACACACACACACACACACACACACACACACACACACACACACACAGGTATATTTTTAAGAGAACAAAACATCAAAAGGGATATATGTATAAAGTTAGAATGTTACATGCTGTATACATTTCTTTCTGAAAGTGTGCTGTAGGACTTGAGCCCGGGCCTACAGCCTGTCAATACTACATAAATTATGCAAAATTAAGCTATACAAATTGACGACTAAGATATGGCAACAGTTGGGTATCTGTAGTTACTGTTACATTTGACTGGCAAAGTCAACAGAGCAGCGGAATGCTTTGACAGTAGCTGACCAACTGCCTTGTTCACTTGCTGTAATAAATACACTTTGGGTTTAGCACTTAGTTTTATTGTAATAACACTTGTTGTAATGGGTAAGACACACAAGCAATAGTTACTATGAAAATTACAGAGCAATTTCAGTGTCACAGAATTTTCTAAATGTACGTCTATATCTCTTGAGATGTCAGGCAGACCACTGCGTTCTTCCTTTGTCCTAGGAAGTACAGCAGAATCCCCGTATCCATGGATTTAGTAATCCACGATTTACCATGAACCGAAAATAACCCTTAATTTTGCCCAATAATGGTCGCAAAGCACAAAAGTAGTGATGTTGGCAGTTTTTCACAGCCCAAGAGAAGCCAGGGAGCGTTTCCCATCAGTGAAAAAGTGCTAATTTCTCCACTTATTGTGCAGAATTTATCAAACTATCCTGGGTATGTAAATAAAAAACAACTTATGCATACACAGGGTTCACTATTATCCATGGTTTCGGGTCTCCACGGTAGGTTTCGGAATATATCCCACGCAGATACCAGGTAACCACTGTACAGCAGTAACAGGTACAAGACTTGCAGTATTAGTCACCGCCGTACTAGACTGAAACCCATCGAGCTAATTGAACTTTATAACTAGCTTATTTTCATTGTTTACTACAGTATAATAGTGGTAAACTGTGTAAAGTATTGTAGTATTATATACACCGAGAACTTCAGGGCTTTTTATTTTTACATTTTTTTTAAAGTTCTGAATTAATGGATGCTCAACCCCCCCCTCATTAGCCCTTCATATCAAGACATTACACTAACCACAAAATATATATTTTGACACATTTTAAATAAATTATCCATACTGCACTGGACTGAGGAGGGGAGAGGGAGGGAGGGCTGTATCTACTTTTAAAACAATCCAGAAGTCATAGGTCGCCTAACTTACAAATACAGTGAACCCCTGGTTTACGATCAGCTCCCAATGCGACCAATTATGTAAGTGTATTTATGTAAGTGTGTTTGTACGTGTATGTTTGGGGGTCTGAAATGGACTAATCTAATTCACAATATTCCTTATGGGAACAAATTCGTTCAGTACTGGCACCTGAACATACTTCTGGAATGAAATAATATCGTAAACCGGGGGTCCACTGTACACAGTTATAAATCATGGACCAGGTGAGGCCTGAACCCGTGGCAATGGCTCCTGAAACTCACAGGCCAGTTGCGTTGTTTGCAGTTGTGTTATTACAAAGTTATACACATTCACACTTACCAGATTTTGGAAACAATCGAAATAACAGGTTAGTATGTTGAAAAACCGCAAGTACAGCACGTACGTATGGTGTGGTTCTCTTGTATGTGACAATACAGTGCGCTCAACTCGTGTGAAAAACAATCGTAAACCGAACACTCTTCACAGGGGATATTTCATGTTTGTAAAGGGTTCTTGGTACAAGGAAATGGAGCTATCTTTCTCTTGGATCAAACCTAATTATCTCTCATTCCCCAGGTGTTATATGACCCCTATGGGTTTACTGCTTCCACATGAATATACTGTTGTAATAATAATAATCATAAATAAAAATAATAATAATAATAGGGGAATGAGAGATAATCAGGTTTGATCCAAGGTAGTGGATGGTGGCAACAATTCCTTAGGTCACTCTGCATGAAGACAATATGGATGCAACAAATTCTCAATGTAACAATGCTTCACCCAGGGTAGAACTTTATAAAGCCACAACTTGATAAAGCTCAATGCTGCGGGAAACACAGTCGGAGTTAAGGGACACGCAAGTTCCCCCGTCGTCTTCTAATAATGTGTTCATTTTTCCACTATTATCTAGGAAAGATGCCAGACTTTACCTTATGAAATAGACAAAGCAAATGCGGTAGTAAGTGTGGACAAGGTAGATTATAGTCGAAAAATGAATGTGTTATTAGAAGACGGTGGGAACTTCTGTGCCCCTTAAAGCTTGTTCTGTACACGCTCTGTTGGGATTATACCTGTACGTCTTCAGATCAAGAGCCTATTACCAGAAAACTCTTATCAGTATTTGATAATTAACCAGTCACTTTACTCTGGCTAATAATGAAAAATACTTAAGTATACACACAAAAATGATACATATTATACATGAAGTGTAAACAAATGGGGGGTTATACAGCACATGATGTGAGATAATTAAGTTTGATCCAAGGAAAAGGGTAGCTCAAATTCCCTGGATCATGTGATCACCACCATCAAAGTACAGTGGACCCCCGCATAACGATTACCTCCGAATGCGACCAATTATGTAAGTGTATTTAAGTAAGTGCGTTTGTACGTGTATGTTTGGGGGTCTGAAATGGACTAATCTACTTCACAATATTCCTTATGGGAACAAATTCGGTCAGTACTGGCACCTGAACATACTTCTGGAGTGAAAAAATATCGTTAACCGGGGGTCCACTGTACTCACTTCCAAGGAATAAATGGATACATACATGGACAGAAAATATTTTCCTTAAAACACAATGAATTATTTACAGTTTACATAATTCTTTTTGATTCCATTATACACAAATGACCTTTAAAATAATATTTCACATCTAAGCCCATTAGCCGGACTTGAGTCCTGGAGGTGGGAGGTACAGTGCCTGCACTCTGGAGGATGGGTGGGGATGTTATAGTTCTGGAGGTGGGAGGTACAGTGCCTGCACTCTGGAGGATGGGTGGGGATGTTATAGTTCTGGAGGTGGGAGGTATAGTGCCTGCACTCTGGAGGATGGGTGGGGATGTTATAGTTCTGGAGGTGGGAGGTATAGTGCCTGCACTCTGGAGGATGGGTGGGGATGTTATAGTTCTGGAGGTGGGAGGTACAGTGCCTGCACTCTGGAGGATGGGTGGGGATGTTATAGTTCTGGAGGTGGGAGGTACAGTGCCTGCACTCTGGAGGATGGGTAGGGATGTTATAGTTCTGGAGGTGGGAGGTACAGTGCCTGCACTCTGGAGGATGGGTGGGGATGTTATAGTTCTGGAGGTGGGAGGTACAGTGCCTGCACTCTGGAGGATCGGTGGGGATGTTATAGTTCTGGAGGTGGAGGTACAGTGCCTGCACTCTGGAGGATGGGTGGGGATGTTATAGTTCTGGAGGTGGGAGGTACAGTGCCTGCACTCTGGAGGATGGGTAGGGATGTTATAGTCCTGGAGGTGGGAGGTACAGTGCCTGCACTCTGGAGGATGGGTGGGGATGTTATAGTTCTGGAGGTGGAAGGTACAGTGCTGCACTCTGAGAATGGTGGGGAGTTGAGTTCTGAGGTCAACAAGGTTTCATGCAGCAAATGGAAGATGATGGTGGGGAAAGTTTGTTCTAGGAGGGTTCATTTACAAGTACCGCACTAAGAGAGAGCTTAGGGATGTTTTGTCCCGAGGTGGAGTACAAAGCCTGCACCTCTGGAGATGGGTGGTAAAGTTAAGTTGGAGCGAAAGTCGTACTTTACTCTTTTAGGGTGGGGGTTTGCACGTTCCCGAGGTCATAGGTTTGGTAACAGCAATGATTTGAATGCTATGGTGAAATGCAATTTTCTCTTAAGTCATTTACACAAATAACCAGTACTTAAAAGGCCATCCAACCTGACGACAATTTACTGGTCTGCTGGACCAAATTACAAAGTCACAACCCCCTTTGGGAAATTTGTGCTTTAAAATGGTTTCCGTTGATGAGAACCGTAAACGTCAGTGTAAGGCTATCTCTTCATGTGCGGGTTTTTGTGTATTTCGTCCACAGCTGAAAATATGTACATTTTTTATCTATTGAAAGTACCATCTTTACTTGGATGAGATAGCTTGGATAAATCGACCAAATTGTAATCACACTCTCCATTACCCCCAATTAACAAAAGTAGAACTAATCCGTATCTAATAAGGTATTACAAGCGCCTAAGCAATTTTAACTGTCTCGGAGATCCAAATATCCCAATACACAATTTCTTATCTATGTGAGCCTTCCACTTCTGGGGTGATTTTGTAGATTTTCACGTAAACATGTGCTATCCCGTCTCGATCCCATAACTTAATACGAATCATAGGCTGAAGAAATCCCGAGTGCAGGCATATCCTGCCACCATGTGACCAGTAAAGATTTTCTTACGGTTCATCTTAAAACGGTCCAAGGCTGAAAATATTACAATTTTATTATCCATACTCTGACAAGCTAACCACTTTTTATTTGGAGAAAGAGTGACGGCTGGCATCGAATGCATGGTCGGATCTGCAATGTATTTGAAATCGACAGGAATGTCCCATTCCCACACCCGCAAGCTCTTATCATCTGAAGTAGACACAAACCTCCGGTTTTCATCAATGAACGTGATTGTATTTACAGCGCCTAAATGACGATCATATTCCTGAACTATCTCGCCAGTTCTAATATCCCAACACACAATTTTCTTATCTGATGTGCCAGCAACAAAAAGGTTTTGTTTCTCCTCGTCGGGGTGGAACTTGACGCAGTATGGAATCTTTCGACTGGTAAACCGAGAGATGCAGTCCCCGGTCTCGGTGTCCCATAACTTAATAAAGCGATCATAGCCCGCTGAAAGAAACTGTTTCCCCTCGTTATCAAAGCAAGCGTCCCTCACCGCCTGCTTGTGTCCCATGTAAGTTCTAATACAACGTCGATTGTTGTACACTTCCCAGATTTTAATTCTGGTGTCCATAGCACATGAAAGTAGAAGATGAGCTGATCGAGGGAACCACCTAATGGCCGACACACCTTTGTTGTGGCCCTTCCATGTATGTATTAATTTCTTGGGCATGAAGCACTTCTCAGGTGGATCTGGAGACTTCAAATTTACGCCACATCTTGAGGTATGTGCAGAAATGATCTTCCTTGGTAGTCGTATGCATCTTTATGTGCAGTAGGGATTTTTCTTCAATTGGTTTATCGTCGGTCTGTTTACCTCGTTTCTGTCGCTTTGCTAAGATTTCGTCCAATGCGTGTTGCTCCTCTTCCGACGGCTTCATCACAGATTGTTCATTTTGATATTTAGCCCATGGGCCCTTGAAGCCCTCAATGTCCGCTGCATCATCGTTTTTGTCACGCTTGCGCCTAGGAGGTTGGTCAGCCTTGTGCTTGGTTTCAAAAATTGTCAACCCGGATGTTTCCTTGGCTGTAGAAACATCCCCAACAAATCTTCTTCCATCATCTGGATTTCCTGATATTGAAGGATCGACAGCATAGCCTGGAAAAAAAATTATAATTATTCGGTGCTTCAAAATTTTTTTTTTGCTGCATGTCCTAATAACTATCAATTTTAGACAAGCAAAAAAATAATAACAGTGGACCCCCGGCTTACGACATTATTTCATTCCAGAAGTATGTTCAGGTGCCAGTACTGAACGAATTTGTTCCCATAAGGAATATTGTGAAGTAGATTAGTCCATTTCAGACCCCCAAACATACACATACAAATGCACTTACATAAATACACTTACATAATTGGTCGCATTGAGAGCTGATCGTAAACCGGGGGTCCACTGTAGTTGCATACTGTAATAGTTACATATAAAACATCTGAAGTCAACGTCAAAGTTTCTGCCATATTGAAAAATAATTAAAGAAAGCTTTTCTTTCTAGTAAAAGCATACAAGATACTTCTTCACTTAGCTGTTTTAACTTTTAAGGTTTAAATAATAAAATATTACAAAGACCCCAGTGGAAGTAAGTCACTTTGACTTTCTTTGGGTTATGCTGGTGGGTAATTTACACTATGTATGATAATTGTACTTGTGTGTACCTGTGCCTTAATGAACTTACTTAAATAACAAAAAAGGCACAATACCATGACTGGAACGATACACAAATAACCCGCACATAAAAGAGAGAAGCTTACGTCGTCGTAAGCTTTCTCTCTTTTATGTGCGGGTTATTTGTGTATGAACTTACTTCCTTACTCCCACATCAAGAATATACTATTTAGATTTTAAGATTAATCTGGAAACAATGAAACAGAGGTAATAAAAGGTCAGTCGTTAAAGTGGAAGAAAAAATAGTGTAGTTGAGGCAACAGCCAGACTCAGTGACATAATATAATAGGAATTTTGCTGTGGAAGCATCCATCATTCCCAGGACATTAGAATATTCTTTAAAGAATAATGAAGCCATGACTTCAGAATTAGTTTAAAGAATAATGAAGCCATGACTACAGAATTAGTTTAAAGAATAATGAAGCCATGACTACAGAATTAGTTTAAAGAATAATGAAGCCATGACTACAGAATTAGTTTAAAGAATAATGAAGCCATGACTACAGAATTAGTTTAAAGAATAATGAAGCCATGACTACAGAATTAGTTAAAGAATAATGAAGCCATGACTTCAGAATTAGTTTAAAGAATAATGATGCCATGACTACAGAATTAGTTAAGAATAATGAAGCCATGACTACAGAATTATTTAAGAATAATGAAGCCATGACTACAGAATTAGTTTAAAGAATAATGAAGCCATGACTACAGAATTAGTTTAAAGAATAATGTGCCATGACTACGAATTAGTTTAAGAATAATGATGCCATGACTACGAATTAGTTAAAGAATAATGATGCCATGACTACAGAATTAGTTTAAGAATAATGAAGCATGACTACAGAATTAGTTTAAAGAATAATGAAGCCATGACTACAGAATTAGTTTAAAGAATAATGAAGCCATGACTACAGAATTAGTTTAAAGAATAATGATGCCATGACTACAGAATTAGTTTAAAGAATAATGATGCCATGACTACAGAATTAGTTTAAAGAATAATGATGCCATAACTACAGAATTAGTTTAAAGAATAATGACGCCATGACTACAGAATTAGTTTAAAGAATAATGACGCCATGACTACAGAACTCAAATCCTACAGGGGTAGAATACAAAATATTAATTTAGAAGAAAAATCATGGATTTACAGAGGACTGTGTCCACCAACACAGATATTATAACTCAATGACCATTAAGCTGTATTAAAATTATAATATAAAACTATTGCATAATACTGTACTGTTTATCTTCTGTTGTTACTTTTAATGGAAAACACTAAACTAGTAAGGGCTACACAGTATATATAGTGCTTACAGGATGGGAAGCAATCAGGCTTGACTCAAGGGGAGGGAAACTCCAATTCCTTGCATCAAGAGCCCTTCAGCAGCATCTTTGAACCCTGAAGAGACAAAATATGACCTCACTATCACTCACCGTACGTTGTGAAAGTGCGTCTCTGCGACTCAAACTCAAATTCATTGAAGTGGGCCGGCTCCACGTGGCCCGCTAGGGTGTTTCTGGCTATTTCGTGATACTTCGACTGTGGCTTTTCTGGCCCGAACGTCGGGGCATAGAGCTCCTCGTACTTGGGATTATAAGTCAGTTCTTTTTCTCGTGGATCTATGTGGCGGCGATCATCCAGTTCTTTCTGCAACGAAACCTCAATCAAAATAATATTCCAGAACATCCCGCACATAACAATAAAGACACAATGGGATCATAATGTACTTTATTAACGTTTCACCCACATGGTGGGCAAAACCCTCCTACGTTAACCAGAGATAACTTAACCTTACTTTATCATTGGTCTTTGTTTACAGCTGCCCAGTCCTTGTTTAAGTCCATTCAGTCCTTGTTTAAGTCCATTCAGTCCTTGATTAAGTCCATTCAGTCCTTGTTTAAGTCCATTCAGTTCTTGTTTAAGTCCATTCAGTCCTTGTTTAAGTCCATTCATCCTTTTAAGTCCAAATTCATCTGTTTAAGTCCATTCAGTCCTTGTTTAAGTCCATCAGTCCTTGTTTACGTCATTCGTCCTTGTTTACGTCATACAGTCCTTGTTTACGTCCATTCAGTCTTGTTTAAGTCATTCAGTCCTTGTTTAAAACGTCCATTCAGTCCTTTAAGTCCATTCAGTCTTGTTTAAGTCCATTCAGTCCTTGTTTAAGTCCATTCAGTCCTTGTTTAAGTCCATTCAGTCCTTGTTTAAGTCCATTCAGTCCTTGTTTAAGTCCATTCAGTTCTTGTTTAAAGTCCATTCAGTCCTTGTTTAAGTCCATTCAGGCCTTGTTTAAATCCATTCAGTCCTTGTTTAAGTCCATTCAGTCCTTGTTTAAGTCCATTCAGTCCTTGTTTACGTCCATTCAGTCCTTGTTTACGTCCATTCAGTCCTTGTTTAAGTCCATTCAGTCCTTGTTTAAGTCCATTCAGTCCTTGTTTAAGTCCATTCAGTTCTTGTTTAAGTCCATTCAGTCCTTGTTTAAGTCCATTCAGTCCTTGTTTACGTCCATTCGTCCTTGTTTACGTCCATTCAGTCCTTGTTTACGTCCATTCAGTCCTTGTTTATGTCAATTCAGTCCTTGTTTACGTCCATTCAGTCCTTAAGTCCATTCAGTCCTTGTTTAAGTCCATTCAGTCCTTGTTTACGTCCATTCAGTCCTTGTTTAAGTCCATTCAGTCCTTGTTTAAGTCCATTCAGTCCTTGTTTAAGTCCATTCAGTCCTTGTTTAAGTCCATTCAGTCCTTGTTTAAGTCCATTCAGTCCTTGTTTAAGTCCATTCAGTCCTTGTTTACGTCCATTCAGTCCTTGTTTATGTCCATTAAGTCCATTCAGTCCTTGTTAAGTCCATTCAGTCCTTGTTCAAGTCCATTCAGTCCTTGTTTACGTCCATTCAGTCCTTGTTTATGTCAATTCAGTCCTTGTTTACGTCCATTCAGTCCTTGTTTACGTCCATTCAGTCCTTGTTTAAGTCCATTCAGTCCTTGTTTAAGTCCATTCAGTCCTTGTTTAAGTCCATTCAGTCCTTAATGTCCATTCAGTCCTTGTTTACGTCCATTCAGTCCTTGTTTACGTCCATTCAGTCCTTGTTTACGTCCATTCAGTCCTTGTTTAAGTCCATTCAGTCCTTGTTTAAGTCCATTCAGTCCTTGTTTAAGTCCATTCAGTCCTTAAGTCCATTCAGTCCTTGTTTACGTCCATTCAGTCCTTGTTTACGTCCATTCAGTCCTTGTTTATGTCCATTAAGTCCATTCAGTCTTTGTTAAGTCCATTCAGTCCTTGTTCAAGTCCATTCAGTCCTTGTTTACGTCCATTCAGTCCTTGTTTATGTCAATTCAGTCCTTGTTTACGTCCATTCAGTCCTTAAGTCCATTCAGTCCTTGTTTAAGTCCATTCAGTCCTTGTTTATGTCAATTCAGTCCTTGTTTACGTCCATTCAGTCCTTGTTTAAGTCCATTCAGTCCTTGTTTAAGTCCATTCAGTCCTTGTTTACGTCCATTCAGTCCTTGTTTACGTCCATTCAGTCCTTGTTTAAGTCCATTCAGTCCTTGTTTAAGTCCATTCAGTCCTTGTTTATGTCCATTCAGTCCTTGTTCAAGTCCATTCAGTCCTTGTTTACACCCACCCAGTCCTTGCACAAATAAAAATACTACAAATACAAGTCAAACAATTACATCCAGTGAAGTAATTAACTTTATTTAGCCACAATTACGATTTCTCTTAAAAAATGATCCCATTCTTACGTAAGAGTAATTAGTGGCCAGTTGTCAAGTTTCCATGGCTGCCATAACTTACAGTGGAGGTAACTTGAGGTGTAACCTCCAGCTGGAGGTCCTGGGAGATAGTATTAATACTTTCTATAGGCTTAAGGTGGTGGATATAATCATTAACGTCGCCTAAATCACTGTCACTGTCGCTGCCATAGTCCCTCAGGTTGAGCAGCGACGCCATCTTTGTTTACACTTTGTCAGCGTCTTACAACAAACATCAACATTATTGTAAATATTGAGGAAAAATAAAGATGGAAGTATTTATTTGCTTAGAAAACATGAGAAATAAAGATAAGAATATTTATTTATCTAGAATGCATTGGTTATGTTGGTTGTTATTTTATATTTTGAATTATTATTTCTCCACGCAGCGTCATACAGCGAACATCAACATTATAATAATAATAATAATAATTATAAATATTAATAAAAAATAATAACGGAAATGTTTATTTGCTTAGAAAACATGAGAAATAAATATAAGGATATTTATTTATCTAGAATGCATTGGTTATATTGGCTGTTATTTTATATTTTGAAGAGTTAGTTCTCCACGCAGTGTCTTACAGCAAACATCAACATTACTGTAAATATTGATGGAAAATAAAGATTAAGATGTTTATTTGCTTTGAAAATATAGAAACTAAAAATAAGGTATTTATTTATCTCTAAAATCTAGATTATGTTGACTGTTATTTTATATTTTTAATTATTATTTCTCCACGCAGCGTCATACAGCGAACATCAACATTATAATAATAATAATAATATTGTAAATATTAATAAAAAATAATAACGGAAATGTTTATTTGCTTAGAAAACCTGAGAAATAAAAATAAGAAAGTTTATTATTCTAGAAAACATTATAAATATTGACCATTTTTATCCATTTTACGAAATTAATGTTTCCCTGAGCGTCATGCAACAAACATCAACATTATCGTAAATAAAGTTAAAATAAACATCGAATAAAGATAAATATTTATTCCTTCGTATAACAAAAGTTATATTGAATGTTTATATAATTATTATTATAATTATGTCTCAGAGTTACCCTCAGCGCCATACACCTTTAATATGATCTTAAATATCGCAAATTAGAAGCAAATTTTAGATCTAATTATAATATGGGAATAAATTAAACGTTTCTAAGGAAAAAATAAACATTAATGAGGAGAAAATATTCGTATTTTCTCGAAAATAAAGATTTTTTCCCTTTTTTTCACAGGACAAAATTTCTTAATTACCACCAGAGGTACACCTTTATAATTGTAATATTTTTTTTTTTGGGGGGGGAGGAATTTTGATGACTTGTGAGATATTTCTAAGAAATAAATTTAAATATTTGCTCAAATGGCGACATTTTTTAGTGAAAATATTAATATTTATATATTGGAGTTCTGGAAATATATTTTTTTGTGAATTTTCGACAAATTATCAGATATTACAGTCAAAAAATATCACTACATAAAAATATATATTAAATATATATTGAGAAAATGTAAATTTTTGGTATTTTTAATGGAAATTAAGGTTAGAGTAATATATCATTTTCATCTGAGTTTTCCCAAAATTGCATAAATTACATAAAGAAAAATTAACAACAAAATAAAACGATGCCATATAAACTAAAAAAAAAGAAAAATATTAGATTTTTATATACAAATTACAATTTGCCTAACACATCATTTTTTTCAATTTTTGCAAAAACACCGCATAAAATCACATACAAAAAACTTAACAATAACCCAAAATAAACTCACATAAATAAAAAAACAAGAAAATATTAGTGTTTATAAATGAAAAAGAAAATTAGGATGTGTGTGCTGGCAGACGTTGCTCCACCCTCCTATGTTGTCAGGTTAGACCAACTTTTCCTCTTATTTCTCTCATTTGTGGCTCTTATAAGAGTATTTTCGAGGTGGTAACCATCCCCCTGTGGAGCAGAGATATCTAAGTTCCTCTGGAGTGTGTTAATGGCGGGTTATAATGCCATTAATGGGGTAAAAATGGCTTGAATTGTGAGGTAGTCTGAGGCTCCTCAGACAGACGCCATTTATGTGTATTTTAATGTGAAAATGGTGATTATTTAGGCTGTGAGGGAGATGGGAGGGGATAATGGGGTGCATGGGGGTGCGGGGGGTGGCACAGTACCCGTACGGGCTAATGGGGGGAGATAAAGGGGGGAAATAAAGAAAATAGAGGAGTAAATCGTATTTGTTATGGTGGTGATCTCTCCCTCCCTCTCTCCCTCACTCCCTCCCTCACTCTACCTCCCTCTCTCTCACTCCCCCTCTCTCTCCCTCCTACCCTCCCGGGGTACATTATATGACTCACTCACTCCTTCATCACTTTATGCCCTCATATGCCCACTATACCCTCCTCCCTCATATATGGGAGGGGCTCCCCTCTCCCTCACTCTCTCCCTCACTCTCCCTCACTCAAGTCAAGGAGATTAATGATGTATTTTAGGGTGTAAAATGAAACCCTTATTATTGTACTTGTTCTTATTGTACTTGTTCTTATTGTACTTGTTCTTATTGTTCTTGTTCTTATTGTACTTGTTCTTATTGTACTTGTTCTTATTGTACTTGTTCTTATTGTACTTGTTCTTATTGTACTTATTGTACTTGTTCTTATTGTACTTGTTCTTATTGTACTTATTGTACTTGTTCTTATTGTTCTTGTTTTTATTGTACTTGTTCTTATTGTACTTGTTCTTATTGTTCTTGTTCTTATTGTACTTGTTCTTTCTTATTGTACTTGTTCTTATTGTTCTTATTGTACTTGTTCTTATTGTACTTGTTCTTATTGTTCTTATTGTACTTGTTCTTATTGTTCTTATTGTACTTGTTCTTATTGTACTTGTTCTTATTGTTCTTATTGTACTTGTTCTTATTGTTCTTTGTTCTTATTGTTCTTATTGTACTTGTTCTTATTGTACTTGTCTTATTGTACTTGTTCTTATTGTTCTTATTGTACTTGTTCTTATGACTTGTTCTTATTGTACCTTATTCTTACTCTTATTGTTCTATTGTTCTTATGTATATGTTCTTATTTGTTATTCTTTATTGTACTTGTTCTTATTTACTTGTTCTTACTGTACTGTTCTTATTGTTTATATATTGTGTCTTATTTATTGCTCTTGTTTCATGGTTGTTTATGTTGTCATTCTGTGTCTATTCTTGTTTATGTCTTATGTTTGTTTATTTTTTCTTGTTCTTCTATTTTCTGTGTCTTTTTTGATTTTGTGTGTGTGTGTGTGTGTGTTGTGTGTGTGTGTGTTGTGTGTGTGTGTGTGTGTGTGTGTGGTGTGTGTGTGTGTGTGTGGTGTGTGTGTGTGTGTGTGTCTGGTGTGTGTGTGTCTGTGTGTGTGTGGTCTGTGTGTGTGTGTCTGTGTGTGTGTGTCTGTGTGTGTGTGTCTGTTGTGTGTTGTGTGTCTGTGTTTTGTGTGTGTGTCTGTGGTGTGTGTGTGGTCTGTGTGTGTGTGTGTGTCTGTGTGTGTGTTGTGTCTGTGTGTTGTGTGTCTGTGTGTGTGTGTGTCTGTGTGTGTGTGTGTTGTCGTGTGTGTGTGTGTGTGTCTGTGTGTGTGTGTTGTGGTCTGGTGTGTGTGTGCGTGTGTGTTGTGTGTGTGTGTGTGTGTGTGTGTGTGTGTGTGTGTGTTGTGTGTGTGTGTGTGTGTGTGTGTGTGTCTCGTCTGTCAAGAGGACTAAGGAATACATGGATATCACTCTGCTTGGCTTTGCTTCGTTTCCCTGGGTTATTAATCCTCTAACGTTCACCTTAATAAAGTCGTTGACTACGTGGTTTTGTAACTTTCATGGAAACTGTTCTGTTATTTCCTGATGGCAGATTTCTTGGGGTCTTTTCCCCTCGATGCTGCTGACTTGTTTCCATTAGGGTCTTCCCAGGATGTAAGCTACAGCAGTCTTATGTACAGCACCTATTTACTCCTAGGTAACATGGGTAGCTGGTGTGATTGGACTTGCCCATGTTTCATCTGCCCAGGAATTTAATTTGTGTCGTGTCAGTTGTGAACCAGACATTACCACAAGGCAATAGGCAATATTTTATCTTGTTCCCTCAAGAAAGGTTCATTCATGTTGGTGAGGTGCTCTTGATTCAAGGAATTAGATGCATCCTTCCCATTCTTGGATTGAATCTGATTGCTGTGTGTTTCCACAGATGTTGTATGCACCTTACAGGTTTAATGCCTTCCCTAAATATATGATAATATATAATAGCTTTGGTGTCAGTCACCGATTTTTCAAATCTCTGACCTCAGAGCTGTCCAGACAATAGTTTTGGTGACTTGTTAAATATGTAATGAATTATAACCACAAACTATTTAGCCTCTGGTTAGATTAAATTTGTGTTAGTAAGATTATTTAGGCACAGGTACACACAAGTATAATTCTCATACATAGTGTAAATTACCGAGGATAACCCTAATAAAGTCAAACTTGTTTCAGTTTTTAGATTCTGCATAATTTCCTATAATTTACTGTACTCCTTATGAAAATGAATTTCAAGGCAGTAAGAATATTTAGAGATGGTGCGGTACTATATACAGTATACGTGTCCAAAATGTTAATAAGGACATGCACAAAAAGAATATGTACACATAAAATTACGAATTATTGTATTCGTAGTTTTAGAAAAGCCGGCGTGCCGTTCTCCGATCTAGTTTAATCTTGACAATTCCCAAATGGTTGGCCAGCTGTATTAGTCATCATGGTTATACTAGTATGGGCAATTAACATACTTCTGAATACAATGCTGTGTCAGGAAGGTACCACATTTAACAGTCAGTTTTGTACATTTGGTCTGTACATGTAGAAATTCAGAGTAAAACAAGAACACGACTCAGTCAAGGCTCGTTGATGAAGATTAGGTAGGAGCAGTCAACAGAAGATCAGGCAATTATTCAGTGATGATTGAGACACTTGTGCAACACTTGCCTCAATCATCAGCTTGTCAGTTCTCTGAACCATTTATCTATTACTATATGCTGAAGTCTTTAAAGAGTAGCATGTGGCTGACCCAAGAAGGTGACATCAATACCTTGGTTGAGGATGATACTGGAATGTCTGGAAGAGGTAAACTTATAAATCTCATTCTTTCCTAGGTGACACAGGTGTATTTCTCAACGTTCATGCCCTGAGAGTTTAGTTTAGTCCTTGTTTTAGGGATTAGAATATTTTTATCTGCTGGTGAAAAGGTTATGAACATAATGTAGTTTATAGGTTCTAAACCCCATTAATCAGTGTCATAAGTGACTTCCCCAGAACTGTAAGCTGTCAGCTTGAAGGATGCAGACCTGCCCCACTGGTGTCTACCATTCTGTCAGATGAGTGTAAAATGGAAGGGAGTTGATTCTTTGCACTCTGGCAAGATTGCTGATCTTTGAGACTCCTTAATTTGTAAAGTGACGAGTATGGTCAGTCATGAAAACCTCTATTTATATAAGGGGAATTTCCAACAAACCTCTGGCAGTCATCAAGAGGGAACCAAACAAGTTCTCAGCTGGGCTGTGGTTCGTACTTTGGACTATGTGTGGCCAGGAGTTACAGCCTGGTTGATCAAGCTTTGATTCTCCAGTAATCTTGGTCTGGGATTGGGCCTCCTCCTTCCCAGTACCCGTCCCTGGGATGAGGAAGGGGAGATTAATAACCCAGAATAACCCAAGTAACACCAACATAACAGCTTATTTCCATTAGGGTACTTTTTTAGCTCCTGCCCCAGGATGCATGATAAAGCTTACTTCATGAGTGACACATGATAAGCTTATACTTCCTGGGAGGAACGTGATAAAGCTCACTTCCTGGGAGGAACGTGATAAAGCTCACTCCCTGGGAGGAACGTGATAAAGCTCACTCCCTGGGAGGAACGTGATAAAGCTCACTCCCTGGAAGGAACGTGATAAAGCTCACTTCCTGGAAGGAACGTGATAAAGCTCACTTCCTGGGAGGAACGTGATAAAGCTCACTCCCTGGGAGGAACGTGATAAAGCTCACTTCCTGGGAGGAACGTGATAAAGCTCACTCCCTGGGAGGAACGTGATAAAGCTCACTTCCTGGGAGGAACGTGATAAAGCTCACTTCCTGGAAGGAACGTGATAAAGCTCACTCCCTGGGAGGAATGTGATAAAGCTCACTCCCTGGGAGGAATGTGATAAAGCTCACTTCCTGGGAGGAACGTGATAAAGCTCACTCCCTGGGAGGAACGTGATAAAGCTCACTCCCTGGGAGGAATGTGATAAAGCTCACTCCCTGGGAGGAACGTGATAAAGCTCACTCCCTGGGAGGAACGTGATAAAGCTCACTTCCTGGGAGGAACGTGATAAAGCTCACTTCCTGGAAGGAACGTGATAAAGCTCACTTCCTGGGAGGAACGTGATAAAGCTCACTCCCTGGGAGGAATGTGATAAAGCTCACTTCCTGGAGGAACGTGATAAAGCTCACTCCCTGGGAGGAACGTGATAAAGCTCACTCCCTGGGAGGAATGTGATAAAGCTCACTCCCTGGGAGGAATGTGATAAAGCTCACTTCCTGGGAGGAACGTGATAAAGCTCACTCCCTGGGAGGAACGTGATAAAGCTCACTCCCTGGGAGGAAAGTGATAAAGCTCACTTCCTGGGAGGAACGTGATAAAGCTCACTCCCTGGGAGGAACGTGATAAAGCTCACTCCCTGGGAGGAATGTGATAAAGCTCACTCCCTGGGAGGAATGTGATAAAGCTCACTTCCTGGGAGGAACGTGATAAAGCTCACTTCCTGGGAGGAACGTGATAAAGCTCACTCCCTGGGAGGAACGTGATAAAGCTCACTCCCTGGGAGGAACGTGATAAAGCTCACTCCCT